CCCCTCCATCCCCATCCTTCTCGTTGCCCCTCCATCCCATCCTTCTCGTCCCCTCCATCCCATTGTTCTGCTGTCCCAACACATCCCCGCTGTACCACGGCTGTTTTCAGTGGCCTCGCTGCTGTAGACGACGCTGGGCCAGTCGGAGCTCAGGCGCTTGATGAGGCTGAAGGCCGACAAAGGGTTGTCCACCGAGGCGCCGGGGTCCTGGTGCAGTGCCCGCACCTTCTCATAGAACCTACATGGGGTGGCAGCACGGGTGAGGAGGTGACTGCCCAGGGAGAGGGGCTGCGAGCAACCCAACGTGCCCAAATTATAACGGGGGCAGATCTGCTGGAGCCAAAGTGTCACCCGACAACCTGCGGTGGTGGCGCCACCTCTGCATCAGACCCACATCCCCCAACCACCAAACCCCAAATTCCCATCCTAAGCATTCCTAAGTTCCATCCTAAGAATAGCTTAAGTTGGAAGGGATCTTATGGATCAGTTCCAACCCCATCTTGATTCGCTGCCATGGAGCCCCCAGCCCCACGTTCCCATTCCCATCCCACCCCCCCCAGTACCACCCATGGCTGCTCCTTTTCCTCTTGAAACCCCCATTTCCAGCAGCCCATTCCCGACCCGGAGCTGGGCTGACGTGGCTGCGGGGCGTCCCCTGTTGGGCTCGGGGGTTCCTTACCTGCTCAGGCGGCGGAGCCGGGCGCTCTCCTCGCGGAGATACGCACGGAGCCTCCGCAGCAGCCGCCCCTCATTGCCCCGCGCCTGACGGACGCTGCGCAGAGCTGAGAAAGTGTCGGTGTGGGCAGGGGGCAGCCAGGCCAGCAGGGCCCCCAGCCCCAGCACCCCCACGGCTCGCATCCCCCTCCCGGAGGCCGCAATGGTAGGGAGGGATGGAGGGAGGGAGAAAGAAAGGAAGGGAGCGGAAGGATGGGATGGGGATGAGGGGGGTTGCAGGGTGGTGGTGGTGATGGTGGTGGGGATTTGGCGGCCCCTCCTGGCTGTCCCCGTGCTGCAGTGAGCTGTGCTGTCACCTCCTCTTCGTCCCATCCCTCTCTGTCCCCCTCCCATCCTGTCCCCATCCTCCTTGTTCCCATCAATCCCATCCCATCCTCATCCTCCCTGTCCCCATCCCAGCCATCCTCACACTGTCCTGCAACATTTCCATCCCTGTCCCTGTCCTGCCTGTCTCCATCCTCCCGTTCCCCTCCTGCAAGCCCTTGTTCTGTCCTGCAATAACCCTTCCTCGTTCCCATCTCATTTTACTCCCACCCTGTCTCCAACCCCTCCTGATGGTCCCCATCCCATCCCGCTCCCATCCTGGCTGTCCTCCTCCTGGCTGTTCCCATTCTGTCCTCTAAGCATCCCATTCTGCTCCCTGTCCCAAATCTGTCCCTTCCCCTTCTGACAGTCCCCATCCCATCCTGTCTCCATTCTGCAGCTCCCTGTCATCCCTACACCCATCCTGGCTGTCTCCATCCTCCTGTCCCCACTCCTGGAAGTCCCCACTCCATCCTGTCCTCATCCCAACCTGCCCCCTTTCCATCCTTTTCCCATCCTGCCCATTCTCATTCTGTCCTATAATCATGCCATTCTGTCCCTATCCCTTCTTGTCCCCATCCTGGTTCTTCCAGTCCTGTGCATTTCCATCCCATCATCCACATCATCTGTCCTGTTCCCATCCAATCTTCTCCCCAGCCTGTTCTGTTCCCATCTCACCCTGTCCCACCCTGTCTCCCTCCTATCTATCCCCATTCTTTCCTCTAATAATCCTACCCTGTCCCCATCCCATTCTGCCCCCATCCTTCCTGTCCCCATCCTGTTGCTCCTTATCATCCTTATCCCCACCCTGGTTGTCTCACTCCTGTCTGTCCCAATTCTCCGCATCCCCATCCCATCCTGTCCCCATCATCCACATCCTCACCCTCCCTGTCCCCATTCTGTCCCAACCCCTTTTGATGACCCCATGCTCTAGGTCCTTATTGTCCCTGTACCCCTCCTGGCTGTTCCCATTCTGTCCTGTAACATCCCTAGGCCATCCTCGCCCCAATCCCAGCAGGGGCAGGGAAGTAAGTTTGGAGACACCCCACTACGTCCCCACATCAGCACTGGGACCACTTGCCCAAAACAGCCCCCAGTGGGCCAGAACCAGCTGAATTCCTCAAGGAATGGCAAAGAGAAACAGGAACAGGAGCACGGTGGCAACAGGGGTGAACGGATGCCCCAGGTGTACGAGCACTGTGGGTGCAAGGACAGGCACAGGACACAGGGTGGGCACTGCTGAGAGCCCCCCTGCTTCAGCTCTGAGCACCACGTCCCCTTCGTGTCCTGTATCCCATCACCCCATGTCCCCATCACTCCATATCCCACATCCTCGTCGCTCCACGTCCCCTTCACTCCCCATGACTCCACGTTCCACTTCAACTCCACGCGCCATGCATCCATCACTCCATGCCCCAATCACTCTCACATTGCCTTCACTGCGTCCCGCATCTCCATTCTGTCCCACATCTCCATTCTGTCCCACATCTCCATTCTGTCCCACGTCTCCATTCTGTCCCACATCTCCATTCTGTCCCACATCTCCATTCTGTCCCACGTCTCCATTCTGTCCCACGTCTCCATTCTGTCCTACATCCTCGTCACTCCTTGCCCCAATTCCCCTCCCCTCCATGCCCCATGTCTCCCATCCACCCCACGTCTGCGTCCTCACCACTCCCTGTCCCACGTCCCCGTCACTCCACATCCCAAACCCCCATCACTTCATGCCATGTCCCACGTTCCTTCCAACTCCTGTCCCATATCCCCATCACTCCACGTCCCATGTCCCCAGCACTGTGTCCCACGTCTCCTGAACTCCATGTCCCGCATCCCCATCACCACACACCCCAAAAACCCACCTCTCCACATCCCACGTCCCCATGTTGCACATCCCTATGTCTCCACACACCCATCGCTCCGTGTCCCCACCACTTGCTGTCCCCCATCCCTCACTTCCCTCATCCCTCCTTCTGCCACCCACTTGGATTCCTTTTGGAGATTTATTCACTGCTGGCACAAGGATGTGGGCCCACGCTGAGCTGCCATCACCAGCCTGGGGATGTGGCACCGCCTGTCTGCCCCTGTGGTTGGACAGACAGAGCTGGGCTCTGAGCAGGCATCAGGCAATGGAAAAAACAGGGGAAAAACTCTAAAAAAGGAGAAATATTCTCTGGTGGCACATAATAAGAGTCAGGAACTTGTAACTCATCTCTGATTTTGGCTTTTCCCCAGCTAAAAATCACAGGATCACTGAAGTCGGAAAAGATCTCTGAGCCCCCAAGTCCAACCCCAACCCACCACCACCCCCTTAAAATGTCCATTTCTAATTCCATCTGGGCACTGCAGTGTGCTGCTGTCCCCTCACGTCCTGTCACATCCAGTTCCTTCCTACACCATCGCCAACCCGACGACGGGCGTCAGTCAATTCACAGGAAAGTCTTAATTAAAAGCCTTGCAACGCTGCTTCTCCTCCGCTGGGTTTGCATCCCTCACATCTTCCTCTGAATTCTCCCCGCTGCTCTTCGGGGACAAAACCCCAAAAATGGGTTCTTTCCCAAGGCAAGGCCTCTCGCTGCCTTCACCACCTCCCGCGGTGCCCAATGTGAAGAGGCAGAAGGCGATCTCCTCGCAGCCGCTGACCTCCCCGCACTCAAACAGGCACCCAAAGACCCCATCGGGGCACACGGCCAGGTCAGAATACCCACAAGGTCCCTCCTGCAGCACCCTTGGGTGCCGCCAGCCCCCCTCGTTGGGCGGCGCCGTATTGACGTAGAGCCCTAAATCGCGCCGGTGGCGCCGGTTGGTGGGGTGGGAGTAGAGCAGCCAACGCTGGGTGTCCCCATTGGGGCTCTCAGTCCCTAAATCACACTGCTGGAGCTGGTTGGTGGGGTTGGAGCAGAGCAGCTGACACTGGGTGTCCCCATTGGGGCTCTCAGTCCCTAAATCACATTGCTGGAGCTGGTTGGTGGGGTTGGAGCAGAGCAGCCGATGCTGGGTGTCCCCATTGGGGCTCTCGGTGCTGGCGGTGCCTGTAGGACACTCACTGGGCGGTGTGGTATGGACGTGGAGCCCTAAATCACAGTGTTGTTGCTGGTTGGTTGGATGGTAGCAGAGTTGGGTGTCCCTGCTGGGACTTTCAGGGCTGGTGGCACAGAACAGACAACGCTGGGTGTCCCTGCTGGGACTCTCATTGCCTGAACGGCATCGCAGGCGCTGGTTGGTTGAGTCAGAGCAGAGCAGCCAACGTCGGGTGTCCCTGCTGCGGCTCTCAGCGGTGCCTACAGGACACCCAATGGTGCTGGGCACAAAGCTGACCACGCTGCCCTGGCAGCCCTGCGGTGGTTCGCACAACGCCGGGCTCCTCGCCGGGAGGCCGAACCGTTGCCCACGGTCAGCACTGACGGCCACGGCCCGGCAGCGGCACGGCCGACGGGCACTGCAGTAAAGCAGCCTCCCTCCATCCTCGGCAGCGATCTCAGCCACCTGGCACTCTCCGGTCCTCATGCCCCGCAGCAGGGAACCTTTCTGCCAACTCCGTCCGCCGTCGTCGCTGTAGAAGACGAAGGAATGCGGGCGGGTGAAGCAGGGCAGCGGGACACCGCAGAGCCGGCCGTGAACGTAGTAAGCGTACGCCGGCACGGCCAGGCGACCCGAGTCCAGCTGCACCCCATGGCCCGGCCCCACGGCGAAAGTGGCCCAGTAGGGCAGGTCGGAGGCGATGGCTTCGTGGGTGAGATCGCGCAGGGGGCTCCAGGTGAGGCCGCCGTCCGGGCTGGAGGAGCAGCAGAGCCGCGCCGCGCTGCGTCCCACCAAGATCTGATGCCACTCGGAGACGCGGCGCCGCACGCAGATGCAGAAGAGGAAAACGGTGCCGCTGTTGGCATCGTACAGAGGGCAGGGGTTCATGGTGCGGTGGGCAGGGAGGGTCAGCTGGCTCAGCTCCTCCGCAGGGCCCCACTGGTGGCAGCAGTAAGGGTCAGCCCTAAAACCACTGCCCCCAAAACCCCCAAAGCACTGCTGCGAAGCCCGGCAGCGCCACCCCAAATCCCAAACCTACCACCCCAAATCCCAAACCTGCCACCCAAACCCTGAAACCACCACCCCAAACCCCAGAACCATTGCTGTGAGTTCCAAAAGCGCCAGCCCAAACTTTAAGCCACTTCAAAACCACCATCTGAGATCCTAAACTCACCACCCAAACCCTGAAACCATTGCCATGAACCCCAAAACTACCACCCCAAACTTTAAACCACCCCAAAACCACCACCCTGAACACCAAACCCACCATCCCAAACCCTAAACCCACCACCCAAACCCCAATATCACCACCCTGAACCCCAAAACCACCACCCTAGACTTTAAACCACCCCAAAACCACCACCCTGAACACCAAACCCACCATCCCAAACCCTAAACCG